TACCACTAATACCAAGGATGGGGCACTACTCTTCCTACTGACCACCAACCATCAGGCCATGTTTATTCTCACTGATACTGGACCCCACTGGAGACAATCTGCCCCCCCCCAAAGTCTGAAGAACAGTAAATTGGCCCTTTATTTGAAATGTCTGGAGACTCCTGCTTTACATCCTTTCATTGCACTGAAAAAAAATGAAAGGGGAATTCTGGTGGATATTTTTTTAATAGACACTCAGGGGTTAATTTATTAAAGGCAAATGGGCCGTGCACTTTGCAAAGATATTTTCCCCAGGCTTCCACCATGTATAAGCAAAAATGTTTTTTTTTTCTTTAATTATCCTTGCATGGGATTGGATATTTTTTGGAAAGTGATATTTCACCACATTTACTAAGCATTGGGAAAAAATCCTTTGAAAAGTGAACAGCCTATTTGCCTGATTTGTTAGGCACATTTTCTCGTTTTCTATGTGGCCTCAAGGTTTGGTCACATTTTGGTCCCTTGTGGGGTTTTGGGGACTCATCAGTTAGTTAAAACCCATAAGGAGGAACCAGGTCTGAGCAGGATGATTGCTTTGCAATTACTGTAGCACAGCTGCATGTCAAGGCTGGAACACAGGAGCCGAATATTAGCCGGTTCAACAGGAACTGACTGATATTCATTCTGTGTGTGCAGCAGCCTGTCCGTCAGAAGCCAGTCTAAGTAAGGACTGGCTTATATCGAATGGGCATGCTGTTAAACCAGCATCCGATCAGCATTTGCAGCCAATGGCTGTGAACACCGACCAGTCTGTTCTGGCAGGGGGGCAGTCCCCATGTCAGAACACAATAGCTCAGCATGGGAGATCACCACACTAATATCACTTACTTAGTAACGGGACCTTTCAGTTTTGTTTAAAGGAAAAAAACTCCCTGTGTGTACCCATAATTAGGGTAAAATGAATACTGTCTGAGCATTGATACTGCAGCTGCCGGTTTGATCTGTATGGATTCTCCTGCAGGGTCTCCCCAGAGGAGTGCTGCCTAGAAAACTAATATGTACTACATAGGATATTCTTCTGAATAATGCAGTGTGAACAAGGCCGAAGTCATGGGCCTCATATTAAACAGTGCTGCTGCCTGAAGTAACTAGTCAAGTGCCTTCATCACCTTGTAACCTGGAAAATAACAGCTTAAAAAAAAAAAAAAAAAAACTGGTCATGGGACCAACACATTAAATCCCACTTCTGACCTCCTTAAAATGCTAGTTGCCTGGATGTCATGTTGACCCTTTGGCATCAATACTTTGAGTGGCTTATCCAAAATCATTATGCAGAGCATGAGATCTGCATTCTGGTTTTACCCACCGCAATTTTGTTTGTGTCTGTGGCTCAGCATACTAGTTAATCAACCGGCAGTTTTAGAAGGTGGTCAGCAATGAAAGGCTTCATATACCTCTCATGAGAGGTATCCTTTGAAGTTTATTCAAGAGATAAAAGGTGGTTCTATTACTCACCAACTATAAAAGGTTAGTTGCCTGGTCATGTTAAGTCACTAGCTTATGTACTTTCCAAACCTGGCATTACCTGGTTCAAATTCTGTCTGATTTCTGCTGACTTTTATTAAAAGGAGCCAAGTACAACATTCTTGACCAACCAGCACCTACATCCAAATCAGATGTAGGCACTTTTCCAGTATCTTGACAGCCACAGATGCCAGCTGTCAAAATACAATAGCACCCCTGCAGATTCTTCCATCTATTCTGTTTAGCGTGGCACAATCTTAATGTGTAAGGCCAGCTTTATTCACTGATCTAGAACAGATATTCAGATCAGGAAAGTCTGAAATCCTTAGGTGATACTTATTCTGTGTTTGTGGCTCAGAGTATTGAAACAAAATGGATAAACATGAAAACCAGGATTTACAGAAAAAGAAGTCAGCAATGAAAGCCTTCATGATGGTCTCAGGAAGAGTAAGGATCATTTGGTGGTATCTTTCTGCCTTTTGCACAGCCACAATTACACTGCATCTGCATTAAGTCACTGGGGTCCATCCACTTTATTGCTACAAAATACTTTTCATTTCCATTATCAATGTCCCTTCTTCATAACAGTGTACAAAACCATACATGTGTTTTAAAGTTTTATTGCAAACCCTTGGGTTTGGTCACAGAAAAGGTACATTTCCTTTTGTTATAGTACATTGGCATTTCTTTGTAAGTACATCCATCAGTTTAAATATACAGCTCTAGTATATATACACATAATATATACAAAGATGGTCAGGAATGTCAAAAAATAAATCATAAATAATGTACATTTAAACCACATATTACAGCTTCAAATAACTAAATGTGGGGCATTTTGGTCCATAAAACCCATTTCTAAAAATAGAAATTTTTGAATAGCAGCAATGCTTTACCTCAAGCATTTTAAACAAAAAACAAACAAAAAAAAAAAAAAAAAGAAGAAGGAAGGTCATTGCAAGCCCATGGCAATACACTTGGTTAGTACTATCCAAAACAAAAAAAAATGTACATTAAACTTCACTTCCACATATGGAAGAAAAAAGGTACAATGCCCCAGAATTAGTGTCACATTAAGGTGTGAGAAATCACAGTTATACTGCAATTGTAAATCACACTCATACCATTGTCCACTTGTGAAAGCAGAGTCCACCAGCCAAGAAATACCATCTCATCTGGACAGTTCTCAAGCTATTCTGGACCTCTGATTGAGAAAGGCACGTTGCAAAACAAAACCAAATCATACTAAAACATCGGATGTTCTTCCACCTCGATGACTCTTCATGAAACTCCTCAGTCTGCTCACAAAGTCTGGGATCTGCAGTCTCACTGGCAGAGCTGGTTCTTTATGAAGCCAGCCCCTCACAGCTGAAAGGCCTTGCCTGTAATAAAGTCACTTATTTTCCCTCGTTGACTAAGCTCCACTGTGCGTTCTTCCAGAAAAACTGGTCATGTTGAAATTAAGGCTGTGATGCTGTCATGAAGGATGTGCAACTTTTGTGACTTGACTAAATGTGACCACATGGTGACAGAAACCTTTCTCAAAGGAAGGACTCCATGGGTGGGGCATAGGAGAAACCCATAAACGCCTCTGCTGCCTCTTTAATGCTGGCTGTTATGAGAATGCTGTCAGGTGACTGGCCAATGGAATTCGGGACTGGTTCTTCCGTGAATTCAGGATCAAAGTGTTGCAAATCGCTTGGGCCACTCTATTGAAAAGAAAAGTAAACAAAAACAGTTTAGGACCATGAACTTGCAAATGAAGGTGATACTTCTCCACTATGCCACCTCAGTAACCTAAACTGCTAATGAATAAGGTCCTTCTGGGAGCAGGACAGTCTGTCACTGTTTTATCAGGCTACAGATTAGTGCTGTGCATGTAAATGTACATATGAATCCTGCATGACTACACTATCATCCTAATTCAAGACACAAGTGTGATTTACAAGCAAGTGAACCAATTAAAATGAAATCTAAGGTCTTCCAACATTAAAAATAACCTAGCATTAGGGCATAGCTGCCTAATACTTACCACATTTGGGTTAAAAGGAGGAGTAATCTTCTTATTGATGAGATCATCCCAATTAATTGGAGAGAAAAAGATGTGGTTCTTAATCTCCATCTGTCGGCAAAGAAGGAATAGGATTAGATCAATCAAAAGTAATTATGCAGACATGATCTTTGAGTGTCAGAACAGCATGGGAATTTAGTACAAGGAATGTCCACTTACAAAGTCATTCTTGGCACCAAGTCTTTTAGTGCGATCCTTCTGCAGTAGGCCCTCCAGAAGATTCCTGGCTGAGTTGGTTATGTTTGGTTTCAGCTGCAGGGGCTTATTCAGGATGTTGTCATACATCTCAGCTGTATTACGACTGTAAAATGGTGGCTGTGGAAAAAACAAGCACTTTGTTAGATTTGTGGACAACACACTTCATCATTATTACAGCTCTTTAAAGCCCAACTACTGGCAAAAAAATAAAGTTCTCCCATGCAGTTGGGCTGTGCCTTTCACTGCACAGATCAACTGATCGTTTTGTCTAGGGATGAGGAGAAAACTTTTACTCACCCGATCCTTTGCTCCACCAGAAAATTCCACTCACCCACGGTTCAGCAGTGGACTGTTCCTGGTCTATTTGGAGCCTGCTCTTGGCTTGATGACATCAGGAACAGTCCACAAATCAAGACCACTGGAGTGTGGAGGTGCTGGGAGATTGGAGGAGCAGGTAGGTATATCTCCTTTCTCCTCTCCCCTAGACAAAAACGAGCAGTTAACCCGTGCAGTGTGGGCACAGCCCCACTGCATGGGAAAACTTTTTTGCCTGTTGATGAGCTTTAACTAAAAAAAAAAGGCAGTCTGTGAATTATAAAATGGATTTAGATGCTACTTACCAGGCCATAAAGCATTTCGTACAGTACTGCTCCTAAGCACCACCAGTCAACTGTTCTGTCATAAGGCTGTTTGTGAAGAACCTCTGGTGCTAGATACTGTAAATGGAATAAAAATGATTAGATAAGTCACATTTTGAAGCACAGCATTAAAAAGTTACACATTAATGAAAAGAAAAAAAAAAAAAAAAAAAGTAGACATACCTCTGGAGTGCCACAGAAAGTAGAAGTTGTGCCATTGGGCTCAATGTTCTCCTTGCAAAGTCCAAAATCAGTTAGGACAATGTGACCCTGTGAATCCAGTAATATGTTCTCAGGTTTCAAGTCTCTGCAAAGGAAAAGCAAAATAAGATAAGACAGTGCTCAAGGTCTACACACAAGCCAGTGTTCAGTCCATTCAACACAAAACAGTATGGAGTCGTCTGGATTAAGGAAAGACAACTGACCTGTAAACAATATTCAGAGAATGCAGGTATCCCAGTGCACTTGCTATTTCAGCTGCATAAAACCGAGCTCTTGGTTCCAGGAAGCAACGTTCTCTTTGTAGATGGTAGAAAAGCTAAAAGAGAAAATATAAATAAAGATTAGAAAAGACGCTCAAGCAGCTGCAATCATACAATGGACGTGTGCTGATGTGCGGAGCTAAAAAGACAATGGCTGGAAGTAGCTGGGTGATCGGCAGCAGCCTGAACCTTGGCAGCCCATAGGGAAATGCTAAATCTAGTAACTTTCCACCCTTTAGCAGTACTTTCCCATAGTGAAAGAAAAGACAATGCTATGGCTAGCTGAAACAGGAAAAAAGTATGCTGGATGGAACTCCTGCTTACCTCTCCACCATTGATGTAATCCAAAATGAAGTATAATCGGCTGGCCGTCTGGAAGGAGAAGTGAAGCCCGACCAGGAAAGGATGCTTGACGTTTTTTAACAGCACATTGCGCTCTGACATTATGTGTTTTTCCTGAGGATATATAAAAAAAAAAAAAAAGAATACATCAACTACTGACTAACGGGAGACATTGCCATCACAGAAGAAAAATATGATCATAACAATAATATAATAAAATATTTCTGCCTATAAGAACCAACCGGTTTCTTTTTTTTTTTTTTTTCCTCCAAACCAGGTTCAAAGAAACATTGTGCTTGGCTGCTATGAGCAGGAAGATTTTTTTCCCTATAAACACACATAATACATCAACCCATATTTCACAACTAATTATAGACTCATATTGTTGGTTTCCATAGCAGCACACTGTTTGGGATAACTTTTCCTCATTCTCAAGAGTACTGTTCATAGCTCCAGACTGACCAGTATGAGTCACATAGAAGCAAGTAAACACAAGTCATAATTACCTCTTTTTTCTTAAGGATGGCTTTCTTCTGTAAAACTTTAACAGCGTAGAATTTCTCATCGGCTTTGTGTCGTGCCAGGAGCACTTTTCCGAAGCTGCCCTTCCCAATGATTTTCAGAAACTGGAAGTCAGATGGCTTTGCATGAGGATTGGATGATGGACCAAGGTTGATCTGTTGCGACGGACTGGGCTAAAAGGCAAAATATCTTACTTAGTATATGGCAAGGTATGCAAATAATTCTTTTTTTTTTTTTTTTTTAAACCAATCAAGCATCTTAGAAGCCTATAATCAATGGTTTATATTTAGAAATACACCACATCTTAGAAGCCTATATTTAATTGTGATATGCATTTGACGCTTGTGCACTATTGGATGACAAATCCTAAATTAAACAGAAGTCTATAAGGGCCGAAAACACATTTTCAGGTGCTCCCATTGAAGTTTATAAGGGCCCAAAAAATAAAACACATTTTCAGGTGCTCCCTTTAAAGTCTATAAGGGCCAAAAACACATTTTCAGGTGCTCCTATTGATGTTTATAAGGGCCAAAAAAAAAAAAACCACATTTTCAGGTGCTCCCTTTAAAGTCTACAAAGGGCCAAAAACACATTTTCAGGTGCTCCCATTGAAGTCTATAAGAGCCAAAAACACATATTCATGTGCTCCCATTAAAGTCTATAAGAGCCAAAAACACATTTTCAGGTGTTCCCATTAAAATCTATAACAGCCAAAAAACACATTTTCAAGGTGCTCCCAAAACACACAACTCAGTCCCAAAGAAGTCCATCTACTATTTTGAGTGACAAAGCTTCAAGCAATACAATTGATACAATTTATCAATAGGAATTCATTAAATACAATGGGAATCTTGACGTTGGACATTGAATGATTTAGAAAACATGATTCAGATTGCTCTGGTGTGAATGGGTTGTAAACTGCAGGTCATAGATGCAAACCAGACATGTATCAAAGAACAAGATTTCTACTTGCCATGCATCTTCATGCAGCAAAATACAAGATTTTTTCTGCATGAAGTGTGAATAGGCCGTACAAGCTAGACTATTATTAAAAGAAGCAGCATAGATACTTACAGGGGGTGAGGGGTTTCCATTTAAAAGTTCTGGCTCTGAAGGTTGTGAAATATTCAGGATGGATTGCACTTCACTGCTAAAATAAAGAACAAAAAAAAAAAGTTGTTTTTAAAAAAAGTGAACAAACTACATTGTGGCCATTAGAGGGCAGCACGAGCCATACAATTCTGACTGCAGAGGACTATGAATGGGAGAATATTCTCTGCCTTCCGATCAGCATCACATCATTGTATTCATCCACAAATCCAAGGAGTAGTCTGTTTATAATGGGCACCACACACATCACAATGTGATTGTACAACCAGCTTTAGATCTACCAACAACCATAGTGGAAAAATGATGGAAAGGTTTAGGCAGGTGCTCCTCTAACATAGTTCTGGTAAGTCTAAAGTAGATTGTACGATCTAATTGTACCGTGTAGGGCGAAGAATGATCGATGGCATATAGAAAACATGCAGCACCTAGCAGGCATCAAGCAATCTACAAAGGTAGATGAAGAAGATTGGGTCCACCCCATGTCTATCAGGTAGGTCAGAAAGTCCACTTACTGCTTGCAGGTGTAGGTGTTGGTGGAGATCTTCTGGATGAAGTCATTGAGGCCCATTCTTCTCTGTTTCATGAAAGCTGTAAGACACAAGAGACAAGTAGAGGCTGAGTACAGGCAGGTGGAGGGCAATCCAGTGCTCACTATGTCCCCGTCCAGGTCCCCATACATCCAGCAGTCCGGAGCAGCACTCACCGATCAGCAGAGCCACCATGCCCCTCATCCTGGAGTAGGTGAGTGTGCTGGGCACGGTGTCCGCCTTTACTGTCATACTGTACGAGTTGTAGACAAGTCCTATAGGCAGCAAGAGACGAGCAGTGCACAGTCCTAGCAGCTCCGCTGATTCTACAGCTCTCCCGGCTCAGCCTGCCTTTATATATGGGGTGAGCCCAGAGGGGCGGGGCCAGCAACACAATGAAACTAACTTGGCTCGGGTTCAAAGCGCCCCGATCCAGCTGGGGTCAGTCAGCTGGTGCCGGGGCTGGGCGCCGCCCCCTCGTTCGTCTGCTGACGTCAGGAGGGGGGCGGGGGCGAGGCGTGTGCGGGCTGACTTGTGTCTGTAGAGGGGAAGAACTTGGTGTCCTCCGATGTTATCGGCCTGTGCCAAGAGGAAGGAGGGCTCGGCACAATGTCTACGTCCTGTCCGCCCTTATCGCCAACACACACAGTCCGAGCCCTGCTAGGCATATGTCCTTCTGTACACACTGTACTTACTGTACAACTACAACACCCAGCATGGCCGCCTATTCATACATTCCCAAACTCAGTGGAGGCTTGTCGGTGCCTGGGAAATACATGCGACTGATTCCTCACAAGATGTAAGCGAGCACAGTGCTGGGATCGACCTGGGTCACGGGGTACAGGGCTGGGATCATACAGATCAGAGGATACGGGGCTGGGATTATACAGATCAGGGGATACAGGGCTGGGATCACACAGATCAGGGGATACAGGACTGGGATCACACAAATCAAGGGGTACAAGGCTGGGATCACATAGATCAGGGGGTACAAGACTGGGATCACACAGATCAGGGGATACAGGACTGGGATCACACAAATCAAGGGGTACAAGGCTGGGATCACATAGATCAGGGGATACAAGACTGGGATCACACAGATCAGGGGATACAGGACTGGGATCACACAAATCAAGGGGTACAAGGCTGGGATCACATAGATCAGGGGATACAGGGCTGGGATCATATAGATCTGGGGTGCAGTATTGTGATCACATAGATCAGGGGGTACATGGCTGGGATCACATAGATTTGGGGAGTACAGGGTTGCGATCATGGGGCAGAAAAGGCTGTAATCCCACATGTCAGGAGATAGAGGGCTCTGATCACATAGACTAAGGGGCAAGGGGCCCTGATCCCAGAATTCAAGGGAGTACAGTGCTGTGATCCTATAGAATGGGGGGTACAGAAATGATAACCCCATAGATAAAGGAATACAGAGACTATGATCCCATAAAGCAAAGGGCTTGGAGCAGTGACCTTGCAGATCAGGGTGTGCAGAGGCTATGATCTCAGAAAACGGGGATGTGCAGAGATTGTAACCCGACAAATCAAGAAGTATAGTGCTGTGATTTTATGGACTGGGAGTACAGACGTTACACAGAAAAAGAGTCTATAATCCCACAGATCAAAGGGTCTGGGACTGGGATTTTGCAGATCAGGGTGTGCAGAAACTGTGATCTCATAGATCAGGGGTCACAGGGCAGCGATGCTACAGACCAGATGGCTCAAAAGCTATAATCACATAGAAAAGGGGGTGCAGAGCTGTGATCACACAGATCAGTAGGGACTGGAGCATGGACCCACAGATCCAGGGATACCGGGCAGAGATCCCACAGATCAGAGGGCACAGAGACTGTAATCCCGCAGATCAAGCAGTGCAGAGGCTGTGAATCCATAGATCAGAAAGGACGGGGTTAGTCATCCTACAGAACAAGGGGCGCCGAGGCTGTGATCTTATAGATCAGAGGGTACAGAGGCTATAATGCCACAGATATGGGGTACAGAACTGTAATCCCATTCCCATAGATAAAGGGGGTATAGGTGCTGCAGTCCCAAAAATCAGAGAGTGCAGGGCAGTGATCTCACAGGGGATCAGGGACTGGGGCATGGATCCCATAGATCAGAAGGAACTGGCGCAGTGATCTCAAAGATCGGGGGTGCAGAACAGTGATCTCATAGATCGGGGGTGCAGGGCAGTGATCTCATAGATCAGAAGGGACTGGGGCATGGATCCCATAGATCAGAAGGAACTGGCGCAGTGATCTCATAGATCGGGGGTGCAGGGCAGTGATCTCATAGATCAGAAGGGACTGAGGCATGGATCCCATAGATCAGAAGGAACTGGCGCAGTGATCTCATAGATCAAGGGTGCAGAGCAGTGATCTCATAGATCGGGGGTGTTGGGCAGTGATCTCATAGATCAGAAGGGACTGGGGCATGGATCCCATAGATCAGAAGGAACTGGGGCAGTGATCTCCTAGATCGGGGGCACAGGGCAGTGATCTCCCAGATCAGAAGGGTCTGGTGCATGGAGCCCATTGATCAGAAGGGGCTGGGGCAGTGATCTCATAGATCAGGGGTGCAGGGTAGTGATCTCATAGATCGGGAGGGACTGGGGTATGGAGCCCATAGATCAGAAGGGACTGGGGCATGGAGCCCATAGATCAGAATGGACTGGGGCAGTGATCTCATAGATCAGGGGCACAGGGCAAAGATCTCACAGATCAGAAGGGACTGGGGCATTGAGCCCATCGATCAGAAGGGACTGGAGCAGTGATCTCACAGATCAGAGGGATGGTCTGTTATTCCCAGGATGAAGTTAAGTTTGAGCACATAAAACATTGTGGGCTGTGACAGAATACAGCATGGCACTGCTACCCTCCTCCACAACTCCATCACAAACATTAAGAGGGGCTATTCATCGGTATCTCACTGTAATGAACATTAGAGCAGCAGTGTAAATGGACTGGTGGGCTTATTATCCCTGCACTCCAAGGAGTTCATGGCTCTCCACCTATACCAAGCAGTAAGTATTAGCTGTTCTGCATGGAGCAGGTGTTTCTCCAACGCACTGGTAGGAGGCAATGACAACACACACTCAGCACATCCCACTCATTACTCATCTCCCCCCATAGCACATGTCAGAGTGGGCAGAGGGAGTCCCTGTGTAGGTGTGTGGACAGGTGTGACAAGGAAAACAAAGCCAGGCATTCCCTGCTGAGCTGATCAGGCTAATCCCTCCACTCACCCAACTGTTCTGATGATTTCCACTGCATTACAAACATCCATACCCTCTATGTCACTGGTTCTGGGGTCATTGGACAGACGGGTAACAGGGATGCAATATGGGGGACAAAACTGGAGCAGCTGTGCAAAGTAACCAATCAGCTTCTAGCTTCAGCTTGGTCAGTTAGGCTTTACAAATAAAAGCTAGAAGCTGATTGGTTCCTATGCACAGCTGCTCCAGTTTTGATCAATTCTTCTCAATGTATATTATTGCCTTCAATACTTCTGCTGGATATATCTGCCCTAGTGATTGCCTCACTCTGCACATGTAGAATGCCTGGACCCATAGATATGTCTCTGCAATTTGTTTATTGTGAAGTCTACTAAAAACTGGAAAATGGTTTGACTGATTAAAAAAAGAAACATTAATCAGCTACTCTAATTGCAGTAATAATGTGCTGTCCATTAAAAACTGCTAAAAAATCTTAATTAAAAAAAAACATTGGTCAGCTGCTGTTAAATGCCGTCTAAATGCAGTAATAGTGTGATGTCCTTCAAAAATGGCAAAACTTTTTCAAATCTGTTTAAAAAAATCATCAGCTGCTTTTGATATGCACCCTAAATACAGCGATTCCGTAAACCTATATGAAGAGATAAAACCGGTTCCCATACGATGACTATGCCCCCTGTACTGAATGTATACTGCTGCTATTCTACTAGTGACACCACATAGCTTCTGCTGTCACTGTCAGCACTAGCAGGCTCCCAGCAGTAGGGGGCGCCCACAAGACACACATTGACACATGCAGAACGTCCAGTCTACAGTACGTACAGCATAGCTGTGCTCTGAAATGTACACTTTACATTTTTCCCTGACATTTCACTGTAGTCCTTAAATTAACCACAAAGTGACCGAGAATACCAACGTTCCATGGATTTTTAAATGAGATGTAAACTTCCTCTTTTTCTATGACTGTCCATGATCATGTACTCTGAAGTTACTGTAACAAGTTACAAGTGAAAACATTGATACAAACTTGTCACATATTCTCAAAATAAGAAAGGATCAGCCAAAACAAATGAAAGCAGAGCAAGAAACCAAATCCTGTGCAAGCAGCTGCAAGGGATCTCCCCTATGGTATGATAAATAGCATCCATCAGTCAACATCTCCTCCTAAAGTCATTCAAAGTGAGCTGAGAATCCTCAGACAATACTAAGCCCATAAAGAGATTAAACAAATCAGGCAGACAAGTTATTGACAGCCCCAGCATGATCAGCAGAAAACAATAGGACTTTCACTTGTTTACAAGCTCCAGGACAATGTCACCCCCCCCCCCCACCCCCCATTAGTCCCAGTTCATCATACCTCATCCCATTCATCTATATGGTGATCACTGTATACACAATGCCTGTGTCTAGAGATCAAGATCTAGCTTACCTTTCAGAGGAGACTTTTCTGTCTTAGTTCTCATGTTGGAATGCAGCGATGAAATAATAATCCACAGATCTCACTCCTCCCCACTACACACTGAACAGGGAAAAGGGAGCCTCTCCACTGCTGTCTGCTACTTTATGGAGCCACAGGCACTCTGATTAGCATAGAGCAGATAAGGGTAGGGAGGGGGGGCATTGGCTGCTTGGCTCTGCCCAGGATCACAGTCCAAATGACAGCAATCAATGCTTCCAAAAGTCACCAGGGTAAAAGGACGAGGGGGGTGACAACGTCTTCCAGAGACAAGGAAGGAAGCGCTCTGGGGGTCGCCTGTCTTCTGCTGCTGCTGTGGCGCCCGACTGGGGTTGTCACACTACCTTGTGTCGTCTGCAGGAAAGTCAACTTGTTGAGACTTTTCTTCCTCCGGGCCGGATACCCAGAGGGTGGAGCAGGGCGCCCCCTGTTCAGCCCTGCCACCTACTAAGCATTTCCTAACAGGAAAAATACAATTTTTCCTACTTTTCCTTCCTTAGTCAGTGATTCCATCTATGGAGAAAGCTGAATGGGCTGCAGATTGTTGAAGTCTGCTCC